CTTTGAAGATGTTCAAACTAGCACAGTCTAAAATTTTCAGTTAGTTCATTTTCGTGTCTAAATTTTATGCGAAAAATCTCATATTACGTCTGAAATGAGAAGAAATTAAAATGAATAATTTTTCTTAATATTCGCATTATCAAAAACTATTTTCAGTGGTACGGAGGCGATGTGTTGTGTCGTGTTTGCAAATTTTTCTACACGTTCAGTTTTTATTTGAATTCATTCGTTATCGCCGGTATCGCGATCGATCGAGCTTGTAGTGCTTATAAAATCAAGTAATTCATCAGCAATATTTTCATCACCTTATCGAACCTTTGTTCAGATTATTAGCAGAATTTTTCATTATGAATTTTTCTACAAACTCAAACTCCTCTTGATGAGAGTCAAAATTTTCTGAATTATTCTATCAAAGAACAAGATTTCCAACAAAACTTTTCAGCTCATTGAAAGCTTTCGAAAGTGCCAACCGTCGAGTGTTCCGCACGTTGGTGGCTGCCTATGCGGGCGCTACCATCTTCTCGATTCCGCAAATATTCATATTTCGTGTCTTTCAACCGCTTGAATTGGTCGATTTCAGGTGTGTGTTTTTGAGTGCATGTGCAATCACTGTTCTTGCCGTGTAGTTTTTGTTATCTGGAAGCAACAAAAATTTATGAGGCATTGAATCAACTGAATTGAAATTATTGTGAATTGAAATGTTTTTTGAAAACTTATTGAATTTTTCGAAGTCTTAAGACAGTGTACGCCAGTTTGGACAACAATCGCCTACGAGTACGATCTACGCATTCAACTGCCGACAACCACTGAGAGAGAAAAGAATATGCTAGCTGCACATTATATGCAGGTATCAGTAGCATCCCGATCACTCGTCATCGAAAACATTCATTCAATGTCTTTTTCTTACAATGTCATCGCATCAAATCCAGATAGTGACGAGAATTTTGTGAACGTTGACAAAGAAATCTTTCAAGAATTGACTAATGTTAAACATGAAGTTGTGAGATCTCATTGGATTAGTATTATTACAAATGAGAAGTTTCTTTCATCGGTTTAATTCAGAAATTCAACGCAAATCGACGAATTTCGATGCCAAAATTCCACCACCACAAACAATCAAATAGTTTTAGGTTCATCGATGGGAAAAAGTTTATAATATGGCGCATCTGCTGGTGGTTTTTTGGATACCAACAATTATAATCGCATTTGCTTATGTGATCATCATTTGCAAATTGAATTCTCTGAAACGCGAAAAGAGTAGGTTGATCGTTCCTTGATGAAGCGCACTTTTCAATTTCGTCCAACTGACTTGCTTGCCTTCATTATTTGTTGTGCTTATCGAATGCAACAAAATCCTCTGATCCTCCAGTCTAACTGCTTCTTAGTTTACTGGCTTTTCAGTCTTATACTCACAGTTTTACGTTACGTAAGATTTCAATTACGATCGAAAATTTTGAACTCGATTTCTGGAATGAAATTCATTGAAGTACAAATGAGTACCGACCGAATCACAATGAAGCATTTCTTCGAAATCTTTCCTGAAACAAGC